GACAAGAGATCTGCAACTATTAACCCCTTAAGACCGCAGCCAAATGTACAAGTTGTGATCAAAACAAAACGTAAACAAAACCTAGCATTTGCGCTATATGTCTGTCCAACCGTAATTCACCTCTTTCATATTAAATGCACCTACACTTATTATATATTATTTTATTTAGGGGAAACAGGGCTCATTTAACATCAAATATTTAGGTATGGAACATAATTTAATATGAATAAAATATTTTTAAAAAAAGGGAGAAAAAAGATTTTTCTTTAAATTTTCTTATACGTGACATTTTAACTGTGAATGATACAAAATACTGTTTCCTTTTACTGCAATAAAATACACATATTTGTATTCAGCAATATCACACATGTAAAACAGTACCCCCTATGTACAGGTTTTATGGTGATTTGGGAAGTTACAGGGTTAAATATAGAGTGTTACATTTTTCATTTTTTTCACATTGAAATTTGCCAGATTGGGTATATTGCCTTTGAGACCATATGGTAGCCCAGGAATAAGAATTACCCCCATGATGGCATACCATTTGCAAAAGTAGACAACCCAAGGTATTGCAAATGGGGTGTGTCCAGTCTTTTTTAGTAGCCACTTGGTCACAAACACTGGCTAAAGTTAGTGTTAATATTTGAAAATGCAAAAAACTAATTTGAACGCCAATTTTGGCCAGTGTTTGTGACTAAGTGGCTACTAATAAAGATGAAACATACCCCATTTTCAATACCCTGGGTTGTCTGCTATTGCAAATGGTATGCCATCATGGGGGTAATTTTCATTCCTGGGCTACCGTATGGTCTCAAAGTCAACATAACCAACCTGGCGAATTTTAATGTGAAAAATCTCAAACACAAGCCTTATATTTGACTATGTAACTTTTGAAAACACCATAAAACCTGCACATGAGGGGTACTGTTATACTCGGGAGACTTCGCTGGACACAAATATTAGTGTTTCAAAAACCGTAAAACGTATCACAACAATTATATCGTCCGTGTAAGTGCCATTTGTGTGTGAAAAATGCAAAAAATGTCACTGACGATATAGTCGTTGTAATACATTTTACGGTTTCTAAACATTTTTATTTTTTTCAGCGAAGTCTTCCGAGTAAAACAGTACCCCCATGTACAGGTTTTTTGGTGTCTTGGAAAGTTACAGGGTTAAATATAATGCCAGCAAATTAAATTCCCTGAACTTTCAGCCTGGGTTGTCAGGCAGGTCCTGCAAATTGTAATTAATAAAAAGACCTAATTATGTAAAATTATTACATAAATATATACGTAGAATTATTATATATACACACACATGTGTGTGTATATATATAGCATCCAAGTAGAGAGCACTCTGGAGTCTTCGTTTTATATCAAAATAAATACTGCTTTATTGTGCAGAATACAAAAATGTCGACGTTTCAGTCACAATAGACTTTTCTCAAGACGTATATACTTATGTATATAGATATATTATTTCGTTCTACATGTATTTTGATATCAATATATTAATTTTAAAATACAGTTAGAACGAAATTACACATATATATTTAATTTTATTTAACGTATTTACATATTTATTTTAATATATATAATGAAATTTATAAATATATTTAATCAATATCATTGTACGTGTATTTTGATATTTATATATATAATTATGTATATATTAATATTAAAATACATTTAGACAGTATGTATATATATATATATATATATATATATATATATATATATATATATTATTTATTTTTACACTGATTTAACATTTATTATTTCATTTTCAGACAGCAGGGGGAGTACCTGTCCTAACAAGCACTCCCCCTGCTGGCAACGCGATCACATGGTCCAGGGAGGCCGAAGAGGACGGAGGGGGACTCCCTGGGCTCAGGTGAGTCCCCATACCGCGATCGCCGGCGACAGGGTAAGTACATAAGATCGCAGGGCGTTCTGTGCCGCCCTGCGGCTTTTAGAGTAATCTAAATAAGGACGGCATAGAACGCCCTGCAGTCTTAAGGGGTTAAAAGCTGTTTGTTTTTTTTGTTGTTGTTTTTTTAATAAACATAAAAAAGAAAAAAAAGCATTATTAACCCATTCCCGATGTTAGGCCTCTTGGAAAAGGAGGGCTTTCATGCACTTAGGGTAGCATAGTATGCCCCAATGATCGAGCCCCACCTGCAGCCAGCATTCATACCTATATGATCATACATTACATACGACCTAATGTCTGCTCTTATGAGATTAACCCACTTACTTGGGGAGAGAGGGGGAATCCATCTGCAGTACAAGGTTAAATAACAAGGTTAGAACAGACATTAGGTTGTTAGGGTAGGACCTCCCAAAAATGGGGTACATTGATGTTGTGGCAGGCGTATGCAATGTATGATCATATACTGTAACTAAAAAAACAAAAAATAAAATAAAATCTGTGAGCTTTGAAGTTGCTGTTCAGTGAGTGAGTACGTGCGCTGGATTTTGTGTATTGTATGAATTGGCCCCCAGCAGCACCCCATTTATGCATGTACAGGTGTGTGCAGCCCCCTGTTTTCATTATATTATTTCAATCTACCTGTATATTTATGTATTATTTTTACATCATTTTGAGATTTTATTATATATATATATATATATATATATATATATATATATATATAAAACGAAAACTAACTTTGGCCAGGGTTTGTGACTAAGTGATTACTAAAAAAAGACTGCACTTTTGATTTTCCTAGGTTTTCTATTTATCTATATTGCAAATAGGGTAATCTTCATTCTTGGGCTGCCATACGGTCTCAAAGGCAACATAACCAATCTGGCAAATTTCAATGTGTATAAATTGAAAAGGGAAAAGTCCTATATTTGACCCTGTAACTTTCCAAAACCCCATAAAAACGGTACATGGAGGGGGGTGGGGTACTCATGAGACATTGCTGAACACAAATATGTGTATTTTATTGCAGTAAAGGCTAACAGTTAAACTGCCATGCAGAACTTGGAAAACTATTTTTTTTTTTTTTTTATAATGTCTCACTTCTTTGGATTTTATTCATATTAAATTGTCTCATATACAAATATTTGATGTGAACTGAAAGCCTATTTCTTCTGAACAAAATGATATCCAAGTGTGGGTGCAGTTAATATGAACAAAGTAAAGAGCTCAAATCCCAGGTTTTGTTTTGGGTCAGAACTTGTACAATTGTCTATTTAAGGTTGGGGGGAGAAGAGAGTGTAAATGCATGCATGTTTTCATTTGGGATATATTATAATTATTTAAAAAGCGCCAAGAATTCCACAGTGCTGTACAACGAACATCTACCCAACCTTTTGTATTATATTTTGGTGGGGGAGTAGAAAAAAATATATATATACACATCAATACAGCTCACTTTTGGGAGTCAAAACAATTGTCCCAATCCTAAAAATCATGAAATCCACCTTACCCGTAAAAATAAATAAATAAATAAATAAATAAAATAATAAAAAACACACAGCAGGAGCAAAAATAAACACACCACTAATGATTTTGGTTAAACAACATTTATTGTAATATTTATGTTGTAGGGACAGGAAGGGGGAGGGGGAAAATCAGGGGGACGGGGAGAACAAGGAGAGAGGGGGAGATTTACCATATTGCCCCAGCTGCAAGCCCCCTCCCTCCAAATGAGACACTGCAGGCAATGAGGAACAAAACGGAATGTACGGGAGGCAGGGGGAATTATATCTCAGCTATGTAACTTATTGCCCTGGCTGGTGGCAGCTACATATTAAATGACCCTCAATACCAAACTCTCATTAACACTTTGTGTAGTAGAGGGTGGGTGCAAATGTTGCCCTCCTCCAGCTACCCCAGTGGGGTATTGCTTAGCAACTGCCACCATCCCTCAGAGCCACTTCCCTCCAAAGTGACTCAAGGTGGTGGGGCAATAAGCTTAGGGCAACTTAAATAACTGCCCTTACCTCTATTACTTTATTGATTTTCCCCTTTAGCATACAAACACATACATTCACACACACACACACACACACACACACACACACACACACACACAGCTGTCACTCTATTTTGCCCCTCTGCTATTCCTGCACTGCCTTCCTTCCCACACCCCTCACATACACATTACGGTCACTCCTTTCCTGCCCCTCTAATATCGTCTCCATACCCACAAACAGCACTCCCATCCTGCCCCTCTGCTATTTTTGTACTGGACCTCCCACCCACACAGCCAGTGGCTCCAGTAATGTTCTCTAAGCTAATCCTGCAGTCAACCTCCCAACACACTCATCAGCTACCCAACTTCCCCCCACTGCTTATTCTATGATGTGCCGGTTGACGAGCCTCCTGCAAGGCTAGCACATGGCACACCAGATAAACAGGAAGTTGAGGGACCGATTTAAGGAAGTGGCAGGGTAAACGGACAGCGGGGATTGGATACCTCAGCCCTTACACTTCATCCCTCCAGATAAGTGGGAGAGAGAGGAACCCGAAACATTCCACTGAGCCAGGAGAGCATGCATACGAGGCGGGGAGAGGGAACACAGTGTGTTATCGGGAAAGTCTAGCAGCAGGGGTGGGGTTAAGTGACCCTGTAAAAGATTAAAGGTTTACACTGCCAACAATTTGGCTTATCTTTAACTGTATTGTGGGTTTGAGACCAGTTTTGGGGTGTTTGCCCCTCCCCCTGCAGGTAATAACATTACGGACACACAGCGTCACGGGGAACAAGGTAACAGAAAAACCTACACACGGACAAATTAAATATATATATATATATATATATTTGTGTGTATATAAGTTAGAGGGGAATCCAGTCAGTGAGTATTTACAAACGGGAGCCAGGAACGGGAGCACAACATTGGATCCCCACTTCCCTGTGTTAGAGGATGAGGGGAGAGGCAGGAGGGGGAGTAATGTTGAAGTTTGTCTGGTCCCAGCTGGGGGTAGATGAGAGATCCGGCGAGGGGAAGAAGTAGAGACAGAGAGACGGGGAGAGCGCGCTGTCCTTAGGTGCTGAAGTAAACTGAAGGAGGAAAGATAAAAACAATGGCGACAGGGGGGTGAGGGTTCAGTAAAGGGGTTTGCGGCAGAAATGGGTTAAAAATTGGGGGGGGAAAAGCCATATAGATTCAGGGAAAAGGAAAAGAGAAGAAAGTAGATGGATGTGGAGACAAGATTGGTGTACAGGAGGAAAATGAAAGGCAGATTTTAAAAGATGAGAAAATGAAGGAGCAGAGATCAAGTGAAAAAGAATGGGAAGCGATAAATTGAAAGAGGGGCCCATGAATGAGATGGAATTGGTGGAAGAAGATTAGGAATAAATGGAGAAGACAAGCAAGATGGACATACAACAAGGTAGGAAACAAGTCAGGGAGGACAAAGGGAAAATGCAGGAAAAGGAGAGTAACGGCGTACAGTGAAGACAAAAATAGTAAAGAAAAAAGCAAAGGGGTTGTTACAAGATAGTCAAATAAAAATGATAGAACAGAGAATGGAGAGAGAGAGAGAGAGAGAGAGAGAGAGAGAGGAGAAAGATAAGAGAAAAAAAGAGGTTAGTACAGTCAGTCTAGTGTACACAGCACAGATACAAGAAACAAGTACATAGAGACACACACACCACATAAAGACAACTTACCAATTATTATGATGAGGATGATGGCGCATATCACACCCATAATTATCATCATCTGTGGAAAGACATTGTAACCATTAGTTGGAATGATAACAGAAGGATAGAAGAGACGGGGAACGCAGTTAAAGGTAATGAGTGTATAGAGCACCAGAACGAAGACGTATGCTGTAGAATAAAAAGGGCCTAGCAGGGAATGCAATAAAAACCAATTAGAGAACAACTGAACACAGAGCCAGCACAAGAGTACAGGAAATATGTTTGATTAACATCAAAGAGGATGTAAAGTCAGAGAGAACCTGTGCGAGAAATATCAGGCTGAGAAAAAAGATGGAGAGAGGACTCAACAAAAGGTCTCTTTGGTCTCCTCAAGAATAGTAGGAAAAAGGGTTGACAAGCAATTGGAATGGTACAAACTTTGTTCAACAAAACAAGAGATAAGAATGACAGGGCTTGAGTTGGGTTCATTACAAGCCACATTTTTATATGTTAGAAGCAGACAGAACACAGAAAAGATGAATGGGTTCGAATGAGAAGGAAAGAAAAAGTCAGAGCACAAGAAAAGTTCAGGGAGGATAAAGAAAGCTCCATAAAATAATAAGAAGAAAGGGAGAGAGTACACTGGCTGGGGGGTGGAGGAGGGATGTATCTGGTAAGTGAGGAGGAACAGTTAGAGGCATGGACCAGAGTACTCAGGTTTATTGAGAGTTGTAGAGTGTACATGGAAACTAAAAGGCATAATTATACCTTGAGGTTCTTCCACCAGTACTTGCGCTTGAGTTTTGCCGCACTGGTCTCAAATTGTGAGGCTCCGGCCTGCAGGGCGTCCGCGCGGTCATCCAGCTCGGACAGCTTCTGATCTCTTTCCAAAACCTTATCTACATTCACACGCATGAGACCCACCACCTACAGAGTACAGAGAGAACACAAGAGACAGAGATGGTCAGACAGAACTCCATTTCTAAACAATCCCGCCCAGCGTGGGAAAATAAAACACTCACTCACCTCATCCACCTGTGCTTGAGTCTGCTGGAGCCTCCTGTTGCTGGTGAGGTTAGGAGGGGCTGGGGGAGCTCCGGGACCTCCTTCTCCGGGGGCAGCAGGGGGACCGGCAGGTGGTGCAGACCTGATGGAGAGGAAGAATTATCAGAAGAGTAGCAGAATGATCTCTAGGAATGAGGAATGAGATGAACAGCATAAAGAAAAATATTCATGAGCTGAAGGTGCCAGCAGAGGAATCATTCTGTGAGAGTAGAAGTGCTTTGTAGATACTGAATAGATAAAAATAAAAAAAATTAAAAAAAAAGTGACATGATGGTGGGAATGGGGCCTTTTTGGAAAGGGAAAACATGACAGCTAAAAGAGATGCGATGGGTATGGCATAGTAACATAGTGAGACACAACCAGAGTGCAGTTTTCAGGCCAAGCACTCCAACTGTCCGACTGGTGGCAGGCAAAATGACAGAGAAAATTATAGAATAGTCCATATAAGTACACAGAATATATTTATGAATGAAACATATCTTTTTGTCAACGATCTCAAAATGTACCAAAACATAAGTAAAATGGTTCATTAAGAGAGAGCAAGGATTATGTTTTAATATTAGCAGAGAATTTTGAAGCAGCTTCAAGTTCAATATTAAAAGAACCAGTGTCTACCAAGATCAGTGTTCTTCAACCTGTGTGCTTCCAGCCACTTCAAAGTGTTCCGTAACTACACAGACTTCAGAGCTGCAAAGGGTTGAACATTGAACAAAGTATGCACTACACATGTTGCATCTCTCTCCAGTATGGCTGACATCTGTAAAAATAATGTCTAAGAAAACAAAAATAGGATTTCCCTGGAAATTATTTCATCTTGGTTGTTTTGGTCCACTGACCTAGGCCATCCCCAGTGGCAGCTGTGGAAGTTTAAAAACTGTGTAGCACTATCAGTGGAACAGGACCATTATTCCTGAAAATAACATTTTTTTTTATCTTCACATGCCCATCGACAGCCCTAGGACACCACCCAAGACCATTAATTTAGGATGTCCAGGCAATACAAAGCCCTTGGCAATTTCAGAAATCCTGGTAGAGCAAACTAAGCATATATGGAGTAGTGTAGACCCAGAGAATGGGGCATGTTTTAAAAAAAAAAATACTCTAAATATGAATATGATTAATTGTTCAGCTTATTTAGCAGCATCTCCCACTATCAAGAAGGGGGTGGTGGAAATTAAAGAGCTAATCATGATGGACAAATGAATGTTTTTATTCTAACAGACTCAAGTCCTTTGAGTTTAGTGTTATTTACAACTAGCATATTTTGGCCTAGACTCTGCCACTTTGATTTTCAGTTTAATAAAATACAGTAGGTGTGGAAATATAATCCAAACAAGTATGATATAGATATACCTACATCAGATCAGAGTGGAAAACAAGCAGGTGAAAGTACCGGGCAATTACATCGGTGTCCCCTGAATCAGGATGTCCATGGGTGGGTTAAAAGAGGGCAGTGGCACCACCTAAATGGGGTGGGTCTGCCAGAAAGAGGGCCGCTCTACCCAAAGAACTAGAAGGCTGCCCACCGAAGACAGACAATGCAGGGAGCAATGTTTCAGTGCTCATAGCGGAGCACTTTTTGGGGAGTTACCTGGTGTCCCCAAAAGCAAGACAATAAAGAACAAACCTGGGATGGTGGGATAGAACCCTACAATCAGGAATGTCCCGATGAAATCGAGACTATTGGGAGGCCTGCAATCCTAGAGGACTCCTCATTTCCTCACCTACTAGGGAAAGACAGTCAGCAGAATTCTAACCGTGGAACTTCCAATAACTGCAATGTCAGTGTTCCATGCAATGTCAGTGATGCTACAGGTGTATACGAGTATCTGAGTGGATCAAGCAGTTAGATCCGGAAATATCATAAATTAATGTTGTTCTTTTGAGAACACTTTGACAAAGTGCCACTGCTTCCAAAATGTCTATGTACTTTATGATGTTCCTCAATAAATTACTAATGTAGCTCTGGTGTGCACAATGAAGTCTGGAGCACTTTTCCATTCTATTCTTTAGATTTAGTGGTCCCTATCACTGTAGAACCAGTGACAACAGTGACTCTATGATCACCAAAACAACTTTAGCTTAATGAAGCAGTTTTGGTGTATACAGGATGCCTCTGCAGTCTGTCCGGTCAATTCTTTGCCATTTATTTATTAAATCGCTTTGTTTATGCAGTCCTAGTCACACCTCCCTTACACAACCTTTCAAAACACCTCCTGTAAAAAGTAATCCGATGTTTACACCTTTATTGCAAATTCTGTTTAATTTAGAATTTCTCACCTCCTGCTCTGTTAATAGCTTGCTAGACCCTGCAAGAGGCTCCTGTATGTAATTAAAGTTCAATTTACAGAGCAGGAGATAAGACCATTTAAAGTAAGTTACATCTGATTGAAAATGAAACCATTTGTTTTTTAAAACAAAACATCAGAGAATTGAGCAGTGAGACTGCAGATACATAATCTATACACCAAAACGGTCTCATTAAGCAGTGTTGGTGCATAGAGTTCATAGTGTCCCTTTAAGCTACTGCAGTAAACCTGCATTTTTCTCATGAAAAATAATGGCGTCACAACGCAAGATGCACTTTTTTTCATTTTAAATCAACTTGTGACCCTTCAACGCGTTTCTAAAGGTTAGAATGGTCCAACAAGAAGATAGACAAGTTTGTAGTGCGTGTCTGTGTGTGAGAGAGTTCCTGCCTGCTTATATGTTCACATACTGTTTGTGCTGCAGTTAAAATAATACACTAACACAGCCTCAAAGAGCAGATACAGCCAGATTATCCTGCGTTTTACATTCCTTTTCAATGTTTATGGAACATAAAGAATAATAAAAAATAAAAAAACCTGATGCAACTGCACTCTTATTCATAGCATTACATGTCAGTAATCCCATTTAATTTTGTGCAATGTACACAAACACAGATCTGTCCTATATTTTGTTTGGTTAGAGACTTACTCCCTTGCTGGGCGGAAAAGAAATAAAACAGAAACTCACCTTGATCCAGTGACGAGGCCAAGTTCTTCCTATAACCCGATCCTCCATGGTGGACATCACTCCTTTTCCAGAGGAGAGGAAGGGCGGACTGAGGGCAGGACATGGAGGGTTGCCGTCTCTGTCGTCCGTTGATAAATTTGGATAGGATTCACATAACCCTAATGGCGCCTCAATGACGCGGCCAGAGGTTGAGTTACGCCCCTAGCAGCAGATGGTTTCAACTTTATATGTGTAGCATTTCATAGCAAAACACTGCACATACAGACTACAGGCACCATGACCACTTCAAATCAGTGAAGTAGTCATGATGCTTGGAATGACCTTTTGATGATTTTTCTCCTGCTAACTTTGCATACACACTGTTTTGTGATCCTCTCACTTGTCTTATATTCATATACTTCCTGATGATACTATTTTACTGTAAATATTTGGGTATTGTGAGGTTTCTATTACAGAGACACTTTAGGTACTAAAAACATTACTGAATTAAATATAATGCCTAGAATTCAGGGGTAGGCGAAATACGGCACTCCAGATTTTGTGGACTACATCTCCCTTGAAGCTTTATGGCTGTAAGAGCATTATGGCAGATGTTGCCCACAACATCTGGAGTGCCGAAGGCTGCCTTCTGCCACGGCTACAATACTCAACTTACTAGTATAGGTCAGAGATGAAAGGACAAATTACCGGACCTTAGAATGGCCAAGTTTAACATACAAAAAAAAAAAAGAGAAAAGGAATAAACGTGATACTAGCCAAGATCAGGATACCAGAAATATGGGAAAACAATAGAATTAGCCAGGTCAGGATTAAAATGTCAGGATGGTCAATAAACAAAAATAAATAATAAAACCAAATCAAATAACCAGAAAATCCAGAGAATATATTATGCACTATACGAGGAACCGTGAGGAAACCATGATAGAGCAAAGACTAAGGAGCTAAGAATTGGAACTAAACACTCAGATGGACACGGATTGGTCCAGCTCACCCATCTGGAAATGTTGTGTCATATAAATAAAAGGTAAAGCGGTGCCGCAAGTTTGCATCTTCCGTGCATTCAGCATGTTTGGGGAGTCCAAATGCATGCCCCAATCGGCATTGCAGAAAAGGACAGGAAAGCACTGCTTCGCAATCAACAGCACTGCTTCGCAATCAACAGGCGCTGTGTGTGCAGGAATGCTAGAGCGACACATGGATTGGGTAACACCTACCCCTTGCCTAGATTATAATGCTTAGATTCAACTGCATTCAATGTCTAGAGCAGTTTTACACCTGATGAGGAAGGGCACAGAGGGGAGGGGTTGGGGGCCCCAAGCCTGAAAACCTGTCTAGTTCCCTGTGGGATCTTAATCCTTCTCTGGCTGGGGACTCTATTTTAGCATAAAATTATTACAAATAGTTCAACACTGAATTAAGGGTCGGCGCTAGCAAACTCCTGACACTATAACCACTTCAATCAGCGGAAGTGGTTAGAATGCCTAGGGTTTCCCTTTAACCAAAGTGTTGGTAGACAGACAAGAAAAAATGGTGTATGCACTAAAAAATGTGTGGGGTTATTTTGTGTTTTTTGGTAAGTGAATTAGATTCTAAGTACTTGCGTAGGATTCTGAACTCCATTAAATCAGTATGTGTATATTTCACTGGGTCCCTTTAAAACCATCACATTTTACAATGCCAGGAACTTGCTAGCATTTGGTAAATATGAAAATATATTTAATTGCTGCAGCTAGCCAGCTTTTGAATAATAAGTGCTTGGTCTCTGTTTAAATTAATATAAATGACTTTTGTTTTTAAATTCACAAATTGATAGAGAATTGAATAATTCAATACAACTGTGAATGTCTATTTCACCTGCCAATATTCTCGACTGGTGAAGTTATACTTTACAAATTTTAGTAGAATTAAAATTGTGGATTTAGATAGAAGGTCAAACAAGGACAAGTTTCCAGATTCTAGTAGAGAAATTTTTATATTTTATATATATATATATATATATAAATAAAAATGTCACGTGTTAATTTAAAAGGATTTAAATGGTATATAATTTCATGTTAGAGGTTCAAACCAATCATTCATTTAGAAAGGTAATTGACCATAACCACCGCAGCAGGTAGCGGTGTTTATGATGCTTGAAGTAAGCCTTTAACCATGAGCAGTTTGTGTCACACCTACAATGATGCATGCAATGCTTCAGCCTTTGTTATGCTGGCCAACACCATGAAGAGAAAAAATAAATAAAAAGCCAACAGTCTGGATATCCAGAATTTGATGGACTCAACATCCTATTATTGAGATTTATCGCATCTTTTTTTCAAACTAAATAAATTGCGACATAGTTCCGCTACTCTTTAGCAAATTCCAGTTTCGCCTGCTTCTCATTAAATGGACTAGCTTCTTGGGTGATAAGTATACCTTTTCTTATGTCTTACGATTTTTATTACTATTATTTTTTTGATAAGTAAAGTTAGACTCTATATGCTGGAATGTTCAGAGAAAAGGCCACCCGAGCGTTTCCATGTCTTTTTATGGTCTATTAGCTAGACAAGGAGAGAGGTGCTAACAGCATCAAGGTGTCTGCCCTATGAGAGGGCTAGAGCTGGTAGTGATTATCACTCCTGCAATGAGATCTGCACACTTTAGTTAAGTCCTAGAATGGAATCATTCCCCTTTAGGACCCAAAACGTGTCTCCGTCTCACAGGAACGTGGCTACAACTATGTGTTCTCTTTATAGTTAAATGTCTGCATGTCAGTGTGCATGTACCTTTTTGAGTGTATTTGTTTGTATACATCTGTGTGTGTACGTGTGTCAAAATGTCCCTAGAAGTTTTCTGTTATTTTCATGCACTCCTCCTAACATTTGAAATTTACAAAGAGGGACACTTTTATTTTAGGGGTGTGAGTAGGTGTGTGGCCAGGGGCCGGGATGTTCTGAGAAATTTCTTTTTTTTTTTTTTTTTTTAAGCACCTCAAATGTCATTTAGAACAAAAACAATGTATCTTAAATACACAGACTGATTTCTAATCTTTTTTTTTTTTTTTGCAGTTTAGAGACATTACAATGAGTGTCATTGCTGTGGAGCTCTGTTATACACTCAGACACACCAACAATATGGAGCTCCTAGAATAGAGGGACATTGGGATATAAAAGAGGGACAGAGAGACTTGAACCCAGATTAGGGACTCCTAAATAGAGACACTTGGGAGGAATGCACATGGAATCTGCTTCCTCGATTCCCGAAAAAGGTGGAGCTCACATGGAGGTAAGCAGGCTGCATGGACAGCATGTCAACAACGCAAAGCAAGCAGGAAGAAAGCTGGGTAGAACAATTTCTGAGATCTTATGTGATGTTGCCATTAACGTTTGTTGAGAAGTATTACCTGTGAGAAAGCAATGAGGTATCACCCTGCACTGATGGAGGGTGGGGGTGATTTAATGGCCACTTTTGAGAAATTGCTGTACTATTGGTAGGAAAGATGATTGATAAACATATATATTCTGAAACAGAACTCAAGACAAATTACATCTTCTTGCAGCCTCTCTTCTCCCAGAATACCATGATCTAAACCACTTCACCCAATGCCCTCTTTCACTAACTATCTGGAAAGTGCCCCTACAAAAGTTCCATACTGTTGTACATTCGATATACAAAAATCTACATAGAATGTAGTTTGACAGACACATGTATGCAAACAAAAAGGAAAAGGTGATTCCCACACAAACAAGCTTACAATCTAGAAGTAAGGTATCTGCACATAAGCCAAATATAAGAAAAGAGAGACTGACACGTGCAGTCTTTGTCTATCATTTATAAGATAACAAAGGCAACTATAGAGTAAGAAGGGGAAATAAAATGAGACCTTAATGTAGCATGAGATAGGGCAGACTGCTGTAGGGAAATAATTACTAGCTATGTTGAGCTGCTCTCTAGAGCAAGATATTTTAAGGATTTGGTGATAGACCGGAGGTGAAGGCTATATCAGGTAGGCCGAGGAGGGGTATTGCAGGAGAATCATGGACTCTTAGAAAGGTTCTGTTTATATCATCCAAAACCTGCATTTTCAAGGGTGAACAGAGGACAAGCGAAGGTCACAAGCAAAGTGGAGTGACTGACAAGAAGGTTTTGTAGATATTTAACTCCAATGAAAACATGCATGCTTTTAATTTTGCATTTTTTTCCTTCATTGTGGGTATATCTAACCTTCTAACCCCGCCCAGACTTTCTGTGGCTGTCCAATCACAGACTTCCCAATGCAGCTCAATGAGAAGTCTTTGCAAGGCAGGTGCTTTGGGCAGTTGCTGCCTCTTGAGTTTAGCTCCACTGAGCTAACCAAACCAGGAACTAACAACCGCTTTTCTGATTGCCAGCCAGGGTGTGTAGCAAGGTTAGTCCATCAAAGTACCAATTTATATTGAAAACTGAACTTTTTGTAAAATAAAAAAGGTGGACATACTCCTCACACATGTACAAAGCGAAAGTGCTTTCGGGCTCTGGAGATTCCTTTAAGGATGATATTTCAGGGTTGTGGAACTCCAGATACCCCACACATGCAGTTCCGGACACTTGGCGGGCAGACAAGGTGAAAGATATGGAGTAGCCGAGTTCAAGAGTTTTTCCGGATGTTTGTTACTTTTTTTTGCTCAGTGTTCCATTTGAATTTAAATTCACCAAAATTCAAACTTTGGTAAATAACCCTGTCAATGTCCAGGGCTCTACGCAGGTTCCCCAATCTAAAATTAGTTTGTATCAGGACGACGACAAAATTGTCATAACAGACAAGTAGATTGGGCCACTGCTTTACTAGATTTTTATTACTATTTCCCTGATATTTAATTAGGGGTACAACTGTTGAGAGCTAGGTAAATAAGGAGCAGGATTTTAAATGGACTCTTACAGAATACAGGAGGCCAGTGTAAGAATTATAAGAGTGAGGAGCAACAAGTGAGGAAGATAACATTGTCAACAACTGCAGTGGAGTAATAGGGGGAGAATGATGAATACAAGCAAAATTAAGAGAGTGAACCTAATCCATTGGGGAGAGGTGAATGTGATCTACAATTAGAAGTAGAAAGCAGAATTTGTAGACTAAATAGAGGTGAAAAATATCATTACAGATATGTTTAGAAATTAATTACATATGAATTGTAGAGAATTGAAAAATTGCAAATTTGTACCTGTCCTTATAATGTTGGGGGTCTCGTGAAGTGCATTAGTCTTGTGAAGAGCAATGCAGGCCAGTGATTGGCAGGTCAGCCTGGTTTGAATGTACACCAGGCTTCCTGACAATCAAACATGCAGGCCCAACAAGCATAAACCATGCAGGGAGTACCGTTTCAGCACTCTCTGCAGGGTAGCAGTGTCCTGAGCATAGTGTGAGCATGTCAAATGATCTGCTCGCGCTATGCTTTTTGGGTAAGGTTCCCTGATGTCTCCAAAAGAGGGACACCTGGGAGCAAGGTCAAAGACCCTAAAATAGCGACGAACAGCACTTGTTGGAGCCTGTCCTGATAATGTGCAGTCAGATCGGATTATAAATCCAGCATTGTCTGAGATCAGAGCCTCCCCCTATTCATGTCACAGTGAGTAAACATGTTATGTCACCAGTCCTTTGTATGTTGCATCTGTCCATTGTACAGCTCTACAGAATACGTTGGTACCGGAAAAGCAAACAAATTAAACCATCTCATGCGATGATCAACGTTAGTCCTTTAAATCTATACACAGCATATATAAACCAGAAATCACATAACATTCCAATAACATTTTAAAATAATTTTACATAATACAGGGAAATATGGGAAACAAGGAATACAGAAACAGTGGGCATTAATAGAGCTAAATGACACTGTTGGGAGACTGTATTTAAATAACATTGTGGTGGGTCTGAACCTCAGAGCTTGCAATCTATATAATACATCTTGACATCAATGACAGTACTCCAAGCTTGTAAAATATATAACACAGCATGGAGATGTACCCAAATCTTTACAACATGATGGGGTGACTGTATGCCAGAGATATCACTTTACATAACAGGGTGAGGGGATACTATATCACAGAGCTTCCATCTGTATAACATGGTGGGAGGGGCTATATCACAGAGCTTCCATCTGTATAACATGGGTGGGAGGGGCTATATCACAGAGCTTCCATCTGTATAACATGGGTGGGAGGGGCTATATCACAGAGCTTCCATCTGTATAACATGGTGGGAGGGGCTATATCACAGAGCTTCCATCTGTATAACATGGTGGGAGGGGCTATATCACAGAGCTTCCATCTGTATAACATGGGTGGGAGGGGCTATATCACAGAGCTTCCATCTGTATAACATGGGTGGGAGGGGCTATATCACAGAGCTTCCATCTGTATAACATGGTGGGAGGGGCTATATCACAGAGCTTCCATCTGTATAACATGGTGGGAGGGGCTATATCACAGAGCTTCCATCTGTATAACATGGTGGGAGGGGCTATATCACAGAGCTTCCATCTGTATAACATGGTGGGAGGGGCTATATCACAGAGCTTCCATCTGTATAAAGTGATAAGGGGATACTATATCACAGAGCTTCCATCTGTATAACGTGGTGAGGGGATACTATATCACAGAGCTTCCATATGTATAACGTGGTGAGGGGATACAATATCACAGAGCTTCCATCTGTATAACGTGGTGAGGGGATACTATATCACAGAGCTTCCATCTGTATAACGTGGTGAGGGGATACTATATCACAGAGCTTCCATATGTATAACGTGGTGAGGGGATACGATATCACAGAGCTTCCATCTGTATAACGTGGTGAGGGGATACGATATCACAGAGCTTCCATCTGTATAACGTGGTGAGGGGATACGATATCACAGAGCTTCAATCTGTATAACGTGGTGAGGGGGTACTATATCACAGAGCTTGCATCTGTATAACGTGGTGATGTGGACAGTATCCAAGTGCTCACAATCTACATAACATGGTGGGAGACTATATTAGGGAGGTTCCCATCTAAATAACATGGTGGGGGATTGTACCCCAGAACTTTCATAATAAATGCATCACAGACTGTACCCCTGAGCTTGCAATCTAAATAGCACAATGGAGGACTGCATCTCAGAATTTAAAATCTAAATTAAGAGTCAAAGACTTTACTCCAGAGCTTGCAATCTAAATAAAGCCTCTGAGCTTGAAGTCTACATAAAACCTCATTCACTGTACATCAGATCTTGCAACCTAACTAAAGCCTTAGAAACCGTTCACATTGAGCTTGCAATCTAAATGAATCCTTAGTGTACCCTGCAATCTAAATAATGCCTCAGAGACTGTTTTTCAAAACTTGCACTCCAAATAACACAGTGAGGGACCGTACTACAGAGCTTGCAATCTGAACAAAGACTATACCCCTGAGCTTACAATCTAAATAACATGGCAAAAACTGAACACTGAAATTAAATCTAAATACCACAGAGGACCAGTACCCATAGAGCAGGAGTGCCCAAAAGGTAGATCACTAGATGTTTTTAAAACTACAGCTTCCATGATGCTTTGTCATTCTAAAGGCATTTCAAAGGCATGCAGAGCATCGTGGGAGTTGTAGTTATACAACACCTGGGTATCTACCTTTTAGGAACCTCTGCCCTAGAGCTTACAATCTAAATAACATGGCTCAGAGCCTGCAATCTAAATAATGTGAAGGGGGTCTGTACGCCAAAGCTTAATCTAAATAACACATGGGGACTGTACCACAACATCTGCAATCTAAACAACATTTGGGGGACTAACACAGAGATTGCCATCCAAATAATACAGGGGTACAATATCCCTAGAATTTACAATCAAAATTGCATGGGGGTCATAAAAAGAGACTGCACCCCAGAGCTTATAAAAATGAAAAAAAAAAATATTTAACCATCAAGGGACAGTTCCCTAGAATTTCCCATCTTAATATGTTTTCATCTACAATATAAATCACACAGCAGGGATTGTAATCCAGAGTTTACAATTTAAATAAAATGGTGAAGCGACTGGATACAACGTTGCAGACTGCAAAGCTTGCATTTTTTGTTTCTGTTCTCTAGCCATAGAAAATGTCCGGCCTCTCTCTCTACAGCAGTAAAGGCAGATCATGGCTAGTATGCGGAGACCTGGTTTCTGACAGTATGGCCAGTATCCCACCACCCCCGCCATCAAAGAGTGACGCTGCAGTGACAGTACATAAGTGGCATCCTGGCCTAGTCCATCCCCTTACTCACAAATCAGCTCTTCCACAGATATGCGTATATATGTCAGAATGCATGAAAACCATCACCCATCCCTGCACACATTACACACAGGGATTTCCCACTCTCCATTAATGTTACACAGGCCTACTCCCTGCTTCTACAGCATAGACAGACACACAACTCCTACATTCTCAAAATCAGTATTTTTATGATAGATATATATATGTCCCTGAGCCCCTTCTATGTTCCTTTTGGTAATTTGACGTGTCTGACCCCTCCCAATGAGTGACCCCGAGTACACATTCCTAAGAGCCTCTTTTACCCCATCTGTCATACACATGTGATATAAGTGTGCATTGAGTTACAGTATGGTGTATTGTGTAACCACTACTCCAGTTGTGTGCTTTATTTTGCCAAGCAAAACGAGGGCAACACCAGTCCCCGCTGGGTGCCACGCCAGGGCGACACCAGTCCCCGCTGGGTGCCACGCCAGGGCGACACCAGTCCCCGCTGGGTGCCACGCCAGGGCGACACCAGTCCCCGCTGGGTGCCACACCAGGGCGACACCAGTCCCCGCTGGGTGCCACGCCAGGGCGACACCAGTCCCCGCTGGGTGCCACCAGTCCCCACTGGGTGCCACGCCAGGGCGACACCAGTCCCCGCTGGGTGCCACGCCAGGGCGACACCAGTCCCCGCTGGGTGCTACGCCAGGGCAACACCAGGGCGAAACTAGACCCGCTGGGTGCTATTCGGGTGTGACACGAATATTCCTCATATTATATTATAAGGTTGATGTGAGAAACTCACATATTTGCTGGATCATACACTTGCGTAAAACATTCACCCTTTTGCTGGTCCAGCTTTCTGTGTTGCTGACAGATACACACCTTTAAAAGGTTGTGTTGTAAGCTCATATCCTGATACACACTATCTGACATTTTTGACACTTCCATACTGACAGATGGTGTGTGAGCTTCTCTATCTGCTATCGTTATAAGGTATTTAGGGTGTAAGTGTGCATGCTAGGGTGTCTGTTATGTTAGTGTGTGTCACACATCTTGCTCAGAGCAGTTGTGTGTGATCGTGTGTGTGTAATTATAACCAAGTATAATTGTTTGTACACTCAATAAAATACCAAGTGCAGTGAGTTTTAGTGTGTGTTTGCGAGTGAGACACTAACATTTTGTCTGTATTTACATGTTTTAGGCCTAAGAAGCTGAATTTGGAAACACCCTGAGTTGAAACGTTCTTCCCAATCCAGTGTATTAAAAATATGAAATGCACTGGTCTATTCTTCACAATTTCTAAAAAAAAAAAAAGTAAAATTTCTAAAATAGTAAATAACCAAAATCATGCATCTCTGACAATTTCCTGTATGCACTATGAGTGTTGGTGATACTTTGCCAATTGTGTGTGAAATGCATATTATGTTTGGTTGAAGTTGTAATGGGCACATTACATGATGGTGTGTGTGTGATAGTGAAATTTGGTGTGTTCAAAGTTTGTGAGCAACAATGACAGTGTCCTGTTTTGTTCTGAACTGACATTTTGTGTGTATCTACGCTTTGCAGAGTGTGTTACACTAACATCTCATGGATACAAAGTATGAGTGCAAGGATTGTCTTTAGGCATTGCTAGATATAGTGTGTGTGGACACTGCTGTCATTGGAGTACTGTGTGTGATACAGGGATTTTCAGTGTGAAGGCAATATAAGAGCAATTCTAAGGTGTTTCTAGCTATTGTGTGTGTGATTGTTATATGGACATTTTGATGGTGACTGGTGTAGTGAATGTTATTGTGATAATGACAATGATGGTTATAGCATTTTAGAGTGTAATGCTGAGAGTTTCCAGTGTGTTGTGTGTGTGTGTGTGTATGTAAGTGTGTTGGATAGAAACATAGAGTGTGACGGCAGATAAGAACCATTCGGCCCATCTAGTCTGCCCAATTTTCTAAATACTTTCATTAGTCCCTAGCCTTATCTTATAGTTAGGATAGCCTTATGCCTATCCCACGCATGCTTAAACTCCTTTACTGTGTCAACCTCTACCACTTCAGCTGGAAGGCTATTCCATGCATCCACTACCCTCTCAGTAAAGTAATACTTCTTGATATTATTTTTGAACTTTTCCCCCTCTAATTTAAGACTGTCCTCTTGTTGTGGCAGTTTTTCTTTTTTAAATATGGTCTCCTCCTTTACTGTGTTGATTCTCTTTATTATTTAAATGTTTCTATCATATCTCCCCGTCTCGTCTTTCCTCCAAGCTATACAGTCTGCGACTGTGGGTAAAATGCTAATTGGGTGTAGTGTGTGATTGTGGTTGATATATTAGTTGGCTGGATGTAGTGTGTGATTGTGGGTGATATACTAGTTGGCTGGATATAAGGTGTACAATTGTGGGTGAGACACTAGTTGGCTGGATGTAAGTGTGTAATTGTTATCGAGATACTTGTTGGTACAGCATGGTACAATGTGTGTAATTGAGACACTGGCTGGGTTCAGTGTGTGTGTAATTGTGAGTGAAACACTACCTATATAGCTGAAGTGTGTGATTGTGTGTGAGACACTAGTTGATGGGAGGCAGTGTGTGAATGAATATTAGGGAGACATGCTGGCTGGATGTAGTGTGTGTGATTGTGGGTGAGACACAGGCTGGCTGGGTGCAGTGTATGATTGTGGGGGAGACACTAACAGACTGGAAGCAGTGTATGATTGTGGGGGAGACACTAACAGACTGGGAGCAGTGTATGATTGTGGGGGAGACACTAACAGACTGGGAGCAGTGTATGATTGTGGGGGAGACACTAACAGACTGGGAGCAGTGTGTGTTACTGTGGATGAGACGCCAGCAGGTTGGGTGCAGTATGTGTGATCTGTGTGACACTGGCTGGCTGGGTGCAGTGTGTGTGATTGTGGGTGAGGCACTGGCCATGTGCAGTGTGTGTAAATGAAATACTGGCTGGTGTGTAATTGTGAGTGAGACACTGGTTATCTGTGGGTTATTGTGGGTGAAACACTGGCTGGCTGGCTGGGTGCAGTGTGTAAGGGGGGGTATGAAACACTGCCTGTGTGCAGTGTGTGTGATTGTGGGTAATGGGTAAGACATTGGCTGGCTGGGTGCATTATGTGTGATTGTGGGTAATGGGTGAGACATTGGCTGGCTGGGTGTAGTGTGTGTGATTGTGGGTGATGGGTGAAACATTGGCTGGCTGGGTGCAGTGTGTGTGATTGTGGGTGATGGGTGAGACATTGGCTGGCTGGGTGCAGTGTGTGTGATTGTGGGTGATGGGTGAGACATTGGCTGGCTGGGTGCAGTGTGTGATTGTGGGTGATGGGTGAAACATTGGCTGGCTGGGTATAGTGTGTGTGATTGTGGGTGATGGGTGAAACATTGGCTGGCTGGCTGGCTGGGTGCAGTGTGTGTGATTGTGGGTGATGGGTGAAACATTGGCTGGTTGGGTGCAGTGGGGGGAGGGGTAAAACACTGGCTGGGTGCAGTGTGTGTGTGACACTAGCTGGTTGGGTGCAGTGTGTGTGTGTGACACTAGCAGGTTGGGTGCAGTGTGTGTGTGTGACACTGACTGGTTGGGTGCAGTGTGTGTGTGACACAGACATTTTGCTTACTGCAGTGTGGATGTGCCTGTGTTTGCCTGCCCTGTGGCTGCCAGCAGTGGGGGCCCAGGCAGTGAGTGCAGTCTGTGGGTGCAGGGTGTGTGTGGGGGGGTGCAGGGGGACACTCACATCTTGCTGGGTGCTGCTGTTCAGGCTCTGATGCTGCGGCTGCTGCTTCTTCTCCAGGCTCTGACAAAAGATGGCTCTCAATGACGTCACTACCATCCGGGGCCTCAGAGAGGGGGAGGGTAGCAAAGAGGAATAGCTGGGGGGAGGGAGTGATGGGGATATATTATTCAAATATATAAATATAGACAGAGAGACTTAAAGATGGACAGATATACACACATCACTGTGTGTGGATACATTGTATACATTATATAAGGATATAAAACTGTGTACATTCTATACATTATATGTGTGATATAGCTCTGTGTGCTACATTCTATACATTATATGTGTGATATAGCTCTGTGTGCTACATTCTATACATTATATGTGTGATATAGCTCTGTGTGTGTACATTCTATACAATATATGTGTGATATAGCTCTGTGTGTACATTGTATACATTATATGTGTGATATAGTTGTGTGTGTACATTGTATACAATATATGTGTGATATAGCTCTGTGTGTACATTGTATACATTATATGTGTGATATAGCTCTGTGTGTACATTCTATACAATATATGTGTGATATAGCTCTGTGTGTACATTGTATACATTATATGTGTGATATAGTTGTGTGTGTACATTGTATACAATATATGTGTGATATAGCTCTGTGTGGATACATTGTATACATTATATGTGTGATACAGCTCTGTGTGTACATTGTATAAATTATATGTGTGATATAGCTCTGTGTGTACATTCTATACAATATATGTGTGATATAGCTCTGTGTGTACATTGTATACATTATATGTGTGATACAGCTCTGTGTGTACATTGTATACATATGTGTGATATAGCTCTGTGTGTACATTGTATACATCATATGTGTGATATAGCTCTGTGTGTACATTCTATACAATATATGTGTGATATAGCTCTGTGTGTACATTCTATATGTGTGATATAGCTCTGTGTGTACATTGTATACAATATATGTGTGATACAGCTCTGTGTGTACATTGTATACATTATATGTGTGATATAGCTCTGTGTGTACATTGTATACAATATATGTGTGATACAGCTCTGTGTGTACATTGTATACATTATATGTGTGATATAGCTCTGTGTGTACGTTGTATACAATATATGTGTGATACAGCTCTGTGTGTACATTGTATACATTATATGTGTGATATAGTTGTGTGTGTACATTGTATACAATATATGTGTGATATAGCTCTGTGTGTACATTGTATACATTATATGTGTGATATAGCTCTGTGTGTACATTCTATACAATATATGTGTGATATAGCTCTGTGTGTACATTGTATACATTATATGTGTGATACAGCTCTGTGTGTACATTGTATACATTATATGTGTGATATAGCTGTGTGTGTACATTGTATACAATATATGTGTGATACAGCTCTGGGTGTACATTGTATACAATATATGTGTGATATAGCTCTGTATGTACATTGTGTACATTATATGTGTGATATAGCTCTGTGTGCACATTGTATACATTATATGTGTGATACAGCTCTGTGTGTACATTGTATACATTATATGTGTGATATAGCTGTGTGTGTACATTGTGTACATTATATGTGTGATATAGCTCTGTGTGTACATTGTATACATTATATGTGTGATATAGCTGTGTGTGTACATTGTATACAATATATGTGTGATACAGCTCTGTGTGTACATTGTATACATTATATGTGTGATACAGCTCTGTGTGTACATTGTATACATTATATGTGTGATATAGCTCTGTGTGGATACATTGTATATATTATATGTGTGATACAGCTCTGTGTGTACATTGTAAACAATATATGTGTGATACAGCTCTATGTGTACATTGTATACATCATATGTGTGATATAGCTCTCTGTGTACATTGTATACATTATATGTGTGATATAGCTCTGTGTACATTCTGTACAATATATGTGTGATATAGCTCTGTGTGGATACATTGTATACATTATATGTGTGATATAACTCTGTATGTACATTGTATACATTATATGTGTGATACAGCTCTGTGTGTACATTGTATACATCATATGTGTGATATAGCTCTGTGTGTACATTGTATACATCATATGTGTGATATAGCTCTGTGTGTACATTGTATACAATGTATGTGTGATATAGCTCTGTGTGGATACATTCAGGGCCGGATTAACATAGGGGCTGATGGAGCTGCAGCTCCAGGCCCAGGCCCAGGCCCATGGAATAGGCCCATTAAAAAAAAAAAAAAAAATTTTTTTTTTTTTTTTTTTTACACACTACTCTTAGGTTTGCCACCTGACTGGTATTTTAATGGCACAGACGGTATTTGAGACTGCCTGGCCATGCTGGTATTGCAGTAATACCGGCAATACAAATGCAGGTAATTTTCTCAGAATAAATGTAAATTACTCTGCAATACCAGCACCGGCCAGTTGGGGTCACTGTGTGTGGAGAAAGGCAGGTATAGGAAGTTACAGAATATCCCTCCCTGCCTCTCTCTACTACTCACTGATCGGCGGGGTAGCAGCTACACAGCACAGAGAGTCCAGACAGCAGCCCTACAGCTCAGGTAAGTGAGGGATGGGGGAAAGGCAGCAGGGACACATGGGGATACTGAGACACTAGGGGACACATGGGGACACTGAGACACTAGGGGACATATGGGGACACTGAGACACTAGGGGACACAGACACTAGGGGACACATGATGACACACACACTAGGGGACACTGAAACACTAGGACACAGACACTGGGAGACCTGGGAACAAAGACACTTGGGGACACTGGAAAACATGGGGACACTGAGACACTTGGGGACACAGACCCACTGGGACACATGGGGACACAGACAGTAGGGGACACTGAGACACTAGGACACATGGGGACACAGACACTGGGAGACCTGGGGACATTGAGACACTAGGGGACACTGGGACACATGGGGATGCTGAGACACATGGGGACGCTGTGAGACATAAGGACATTGGGAGACACTGAGATACATTGGGACACGGAGACACTATGTCCCCCAGCCAGTGTCCCTAGTGTCTCAGTGTCCCCAAGTCTCCCAGTGTCTGTGTCCCATGTCTCTCAGTGTGCCTAATGTCCCCATGTGTCCCAGTGTCCCCATGTCTATGTCCACAACTGTCTCCCAGCCAGTGTCCCTTAGTCTCCCAGTGTCCCCTAGTCTCCCAGTGTCTGTGTCCCTAGTATCTTAGTGTCCCCAAATGTTTCAGTGTCTCCATGTCTCCCTGTGTCTGTGTTCCTAGTGTCTCAGTGTGCCTGGTGTCCCCATGTCTCCCAGTGTCCCTATATGTCCCAGTGTCCACATGTCTATGTCCACAACTGTACCCATGTCTCCCAGTGTCCCCAAGTGTCTGTCTCCCAGCCAGTGTCCCCTAGTCTCCCAGTGTCCCCTAGTCTCCCAGTATCTGTGTCCCTAGTGTCTTAGTGTCCCCATTTCTCCCAGTTTCCCTAAATGTCTCAGTGTCCTCATGTCTCCCAGTGTCCCCATGTCTCTGTGTCTCCGGGTCTCTCAGTGTCCCCATGTCTCTTAGTGTCCTCATGTCTCACAGTGTCCCCAGTATTCTAGTGACATGGGGACACACTGAGACATTGGGACACTGGGAGAAATGGGGACACAGACACTGGGAGATTAGGGGACTGGGCGACATGGGGACACTGACACTGTGATACATAGGGACACTGAGACACTGGGTAACTTGGGAGACTGAGACACTGGGAGACAGGGAGACACTGGGAGCAATCCATCTATACAGCAGAATCAAACCGTGAGTAGGTTGTTGGTGATTTTACAGAATTTTCTCTGATATCATTCCTTGTGATTTACATCATGTAATGTCACGCATAACTAATTAATTATACAAATGATTAAGGCTGGTATTTTTTTCCAAGAAAGGTGGCAACCTTAACTGCTCTTCACATACTCTTGCTTAAAGGAGCACTATAGGGTCAGGAACACAATCATGTATTTCTGACCCTATTATGTTAAAACCACCACCCTGGCCCCTTCTTGCCTCCCTAAATATAGTAAAATATTACTTGTATTCAATTCTGCAGCTGCTGGCTCAGAAGTGGTGGTCTTAGCAAATTACAATACTTCCCCATAGGATTGGCTGAGACTGTCAACTAGGCAGATCAGTGGCAGAGCCAGAACAAGTCCAACATAGCCCTGGCCAATCAGCATCTCCTCATAAAGATAAATTGAATCAATGCATCTCTATGAGGAAAGTTCAGTGTCTGCATGCAGAGGGTGGAGACACTGAATGGCAGTGCTGCACACTAGGCAGTACTGCCCCAGGAAGCACCTCTAGCAGCCATCTAAGGAGCGGCCAGTGGAGTTATTTTCTCTGAAAAGACAGTGTTTACTGCAAAAAGCCTGAATGGAATGATTCTACTTACCAGAACAAATACAATAAGCTGTAGTTGTTCTGGTGACTATAGTGTCCCTTTAAGTTTGGAAGCTTAAGAGGGATGTATGGGAACAAAACTTGTGTGCACTGGCTGACATTAAAGTTAGTTTAGGTAATGCAGACGTTGGTCTCTGTAGCATGTCCCCTTTCTTCTACATACACTACACTGACTACATACACCTTTTCTCTGTCTCAGACTATATACCAAGAACTTCTGCCTGCTAGTAAGAAGGTAAGGAGACAAGTGGACCAGAGAGTGCTAGGGGACAGTCCTTAGAAAGCATGGAGTGAGCGCATTATTAGACGCATTTATGTCAAGCTCAAGGTGCTGCCTGCATAGTATGCCCTTAGTTGGACAGCCTGCAGGATTGACAGGCAGCCTGACATGCATTCATGTCAGGCTGACCTTCCAATTCCTTGGACAAACATGCCCCCTTTTTGGGCATGTTCACCCCTTTTGGCAGGTCCCGTGATTCGCGCCTGTGGCCCACCCTTTTACCCCACCCATTGACTTCCTGCTTCACTGGACACTGCTGTTAGGGGTTATGGATTTACTTGAAAGATGAAAGCATAAATTAGAGACAGATTAGCATAGAGTATGTGTTTTCTTATAGCTGCATTCTATGAGTTTCC